GGGGGTGGGGGGGTGTACTTTGAGGGGCTGGAAGAAAGGGATATAACATAAATTAAACGGACAACAACTAAAAAAAGTAGGTGCTGGCTCCTGCATTCAGTACTTCCATAATTTAGCGAAATAAACAATAAAAGCAGGTTCTCCTTAGTTATGATATTTCCTAATTTTCAGTCTTAGATATACACCATAATGGACTGAGGAGTTGTACCAAACGTTTGATGTAGTTACTACAAGTTTACAAATGATGCTTTAATTTTTGGAACGTGCAATTGAAGATTCAGTAACTACTTCTTCCGATTTTATAAATTATAATGTCTTGATCTTGAGGTTTGTGAGTGAATAATCTGGACATTGGGCTGCGATCATCCACCTCTCCCCATCTTTTGTTGAAGGAGAACTTCAGTTCTAAAATTTGATAACTGCAACATTGATCGAAAGCGAGAACAAAAAATTTCTATCTGGAGGTGTAACAGAACCAAAAACTTCTACTGTTCATCAGGATTTAAAAATTTGGTATCTTCACTTTTATGATATGATCAGGGAACATAAAAATATATTTGTCTTTCTTTTTATTGTCTTTTCTTGCTGAATTTACAACAGGTTGTTGGAGTTGGAGTCAGAGCAGCGGGGTGGGGGTCATTTTTGTTAAATTAGGCCTTCCAATACCATTATCTGTTATCAGACTACAAAATTCACTTTGTTTAATTTATTACATCGCCACAAAATTTGTAAAAGGAAAGCAATTCACTCAAAACTCACATTGTATTCCATCAATTCACAATAATTCTACATTAACATTAAACAATCAGTACCACCCTCCTTTTTCTCAAATTCACTTTCCGGGAACAAAGTTTGTGGCATAGGCCCATGCATTGTTGTTGACAGGGTCTGCAAGGTGGTCGGCAAGGTTCTCTAACGGGCCTTTTCCGGTTACAATGGCCTGAACAAAGAACCCGAACATGGAGAACATGGCCAACCTGCCGTTCTTGATTTCCTTCACCTTAAGCTCTGCGAAAGCCTCTGGGTCATCAGCAAGACCCAACGGGTCGAAACTTCCACCGGGGTAAAGTGGGTCTACTACCTCACCTAGTGGCCCTCCAGCAACACGGTAGCCCTCAACAGCTCCCATCAAGATGACTTGGCAAGCCCAAATGGCCAAGATGCTCTGAGCATGGATCAAGCTAGGATTACCCAAATAGTCAAGTCCACCTTCGCTAAAGATCTGAGATCCAGCCTTAAACCATACAGCCTCACCAAATTTGACACCGTTGCGTGCCAAGAGCTCAGGGAAGACACATCCAAGAGCTCCTAGCATGGCCCACCTGCAGTGGATCACCTCAAGCTCACGGTTCTTGGCGAAAGTTTCTGGGTCAGCTGAGAGCCCAGCAGTGTCCCAACCGTAGTCACCAGGGAACTCGCCGGTCAAGTAGCTCGGGGGCTCACCGGAGAATGGTCCCAAGTATTTAACACGGTCGGGACCGTACCATGGGCTACCAGACGAAACTGGCTTAGTGACAGTTTTCCTCATCGAGACTCTTCCATTGCCGGTAATCTCGGGGGTAGACGGTGAGAGCTTCACAGCCTTTCCGGCGAATGATGGAGAAGAAAGAGCCATTGTAGAGACAGCCATGGGGAGAAATTAATGGTGAAGCGAAAGGTTGTGATTTACAAAGTGTGTTGGTGATGAATGTGAACGCCGGCGTGACAGTTTTTTATAGACAATAGTGGGTTTGCTTATCTTTACGAAATCTGTATCTGTGTTTTAATTGGTGTTTGAAGATTATATTTTTGTTGCTTCTGAGTACATTTGGCAATCTGTAGTCCATCAGTTTTTCTGGATTTTTTAGTACTGATAACTACATTTGGATTATTGCAATAAAATCTAATTCAAATGTGAAATTCCCAAAATATATACCGGTTTTGTGGTACAAAGCAAAAACCGTCAATATGTTTGGTTTGCATATTGAAATGATTTGGAGTTTTAACCAAATTGTTTTAAATGGTTTTATTTGAAAAATATCATAACCCATCCATGTATTTGGCCACAAAAAAACGCAGAAATTATGCTTCAAATCTAGTGATTGAGTATTGTTAGAGATGTAGGATGAAAACGGGAATCATGAAGATAAATATATTAATATTAAATAATTCAAATCAAATAAGGCGTGAAGTTTGAGGAAGAAATATGAGTTGATAAAGATTTTCAGCAGTAAACAAGCTCAACGACGTGGTTGCAGAGGTGAAAAGCCTAAACGAGTAGTCGGCACTTCCAACCACGAAACAGAATGCATTTGAAGAGAGCAATTTGAGATTATGATCAGAGACATCCTAAAGGACAATAGAATTTAAAATATCTCAAACAGGGTGCTGTGAATGGAATCTTGACAAGATCTCAAGGACATGTTTGATACAAGGAGAAAAATGGCACATCTCAACATTCCTTAAAAGCAATCCAAGAGCGGTATTTTCAAATTCGGCAACTCTATTAAATGAATAGAGGCAGCCTTGTTAACGAGGAAGGTTTGCGTAAACATCTAAAGTCATACAAATTCAACAGTTTTTGCAATGTTTAGAGACTGGATGCTCGACAGCAAGCTTTTTACAAAATACTAGAATATTTGGCTCACCAGCGGATAAATTCACAATTTGTTCATTACGTAAAAAGAAACCTTAACGATAATGTACAGAGATGATACATAGACAGTTGAGACCACCACCTAAAGTACACTTCTATTCATCAAAGTCCGAATCATCATCAAGCTCTTCAAAATCCCCAGTTTCCTGCAAAAATTTGTTCTTGTTATTAGAAAATTGCTGATATATAGACTTCCCAATTCCGTACAAGTGGCATAAAGACACTAGAGAAAAATGGCATGCAGAGAAGATCACCTTTCTTTTCTCAAACTCTGCCATAGCTCTATCAAAATCCGCTCGCTTTTCTGTAGCAATGTCATAGTATTGTACCTTCTCCTGCAATGAACAAATCAAAAGTCCATCGAAAAAAATTACAACTTGTCAAATTAGTCTTGAACATCCCAAGATTCTCTAGACTCAAAAAATTGGGCAACTGAGACATTCACCTCTACAGACAAGAAATAACATGACATCAAACCAAATGAAATGCTAAAATCATCCTTCCCGACTAGCCTGACCTTCTCATCCCCCAAAGTAAAAAGTGTTAGAGCTAATGCATGCAGACTACTTTCTGAATACCGGAGAGGATATGAGAAGTCATGTTACAACTGTAAGAATTCCCTCGCAGCTGAATGTTGAATATGTGTAGGGCACCTATACTTTTCACCTACGTTGATTCGACAATGACCTATTATAACATGTGAGAAAATTTCTGGAAGTCGGGTACTTCTAAAACTAGGTTGGAAACTAGTAAGGTGCACAACTATATGATCAAGCATTGAGTTAAAAGTATTATTACAGTATTATTGAAAAGACATTATAGCCAATCCCCGATTATAATTTAAGCTCTCGAAGATGAACCAATGTGACATGTATAATATAGTTGGCAATTTGGCATGATGTTATGAAGGTTGTTCAATTTAGGTTGCAAGTTAAAAGGCACCGTTGTGCTAATCGATTTAGGTTGCATGTTATGAAGGTTGTTTATTCATCTAGCGCAGACAAAAAAACACCACAAGGGGGGGGGGGGGGGGGGGGGGGGGGGGGGGGGGGGGGGGGGGGGGGGGGGGGGGGGGGGGGGGGGGGGGGGGGGGGGGGGGGGGGGGGGGGGGGGGNTTCAGTAAATACGAGCAAAGGCAAACTGTAGATCATATCAAGTTTATCTACTACATACATCACGCATTGACTTGACATCTGGATTCTGTTCTTGGTATTCCCTACGAAAATCCTCCCTATGGAAAAGATTATTTACATGCTGTTAGCATATACGAAAATCATATTCTGTTGGCAGATATAGGAGAAATTGCTGCATACATAAAACACCAAATATTAACCTCCAAAAGTGCTTCAATTTCGATGTAGGAAATACCAATTGCAACTATAGAAATCACAAATAAATTTGAACCTCGGTAAAATGTAAAAGATAAAGAGACCCTTTCTACATCCACGGAGAACAATTGAAAAACAGAAAAGTCGAATTAAACAATAGAAGAACAAATTGGTAGAATTTAGATTGAATAGCACGAACTAATTGTATAAAAATTGAAATACTATTTGAAATTTAAAGTAGAGAAAATTATGATGTGAAAAATATAAGAATAAAGATAGTTGTACTCACACATTTTTACAAAATGGTGTACTCACTCTCACAAAAAATGCGGGCCCCACGTGAATTCAAAAATGGCGGCTATATGGTCCACACTCCTCTTTTGTGTAGTGAGTAAGTGAGTTTGTAAACCATGTAGTACTGCTAGCATAGTCCAAAATATAAAGTTGGGTTGGGATTTTATAGGCTTACACTNTCTCAGCGCCATTTTCCTGGAATAAATTTCCAAAAATCGAATTCGCAAATGGAGTTCACATGTATCGAAATTGGAGGGGATGAAACCATATGAGCCAAGTGAAAAGTTATCTTTCTTTTTCTTTTTGGGTTTACCTGTCGGTTTGTTTCTTAGGGCTTTCCGTGGAAGCAAAAGTTGAAGAAGAATTTGTAGGCCTTGACGTTCTTCTCTTAGCCATTCTTGAGGCTGGTGATGGAGACGCCGCAGGGTGGTGGAGTAAAGTGGCGGATTAGACAGTCGATTGGGATTGAGAGGTAGAATTGAATGAATAGGGCTGATATAAGATTTCAATTGGGCCCTCAACTTTATTGATTTTCCACGTTGATCAGTAAACTTTAAGCTGTTCTAAGTCAGTCACTGAAATATATGTTTTGTTTCACATTGGTCACTACATTAGTTTCATTTTCAAAATTAATCAGTGAAGTTATAGACGATGCTTTTATTGTGGTTTAGGAATTAGGTTAAATAACCATATTTTTTGCGAATTTATAATTAGTGCTTTAGTGCAAAATGAATTAATAGCGTGTAATTTAGTTTGACACTTAATAGATGACACGTCAAATTATACTATTGCTAAAATGTCAATAATTTCAATGACCACTATGATATGAAAAATAATTTAAGGACTAATTAATATTTTGTACAAACTTCAGTCACGATAGGTGAAATTATCTCCTTTTCAAACACGTGTTCTGTTATGTAAAAAAAATGCCATATGAGCTAACTTCCTACAAGGATTTCTCCCCATCCTCATCTGGACATAGTTCTAATCGAAACTCGCCGTCCATCGCCATGCAGGCCCTCCACTCTGCCGCTTTCTATACCTCCCCCACAATATACCCACCGTAAACCAACCTCCACCCAGGGGCGGACCCAGCAATCGACGAGAGGGCGTGGGCGTCCATGCGGGATCCGTCGAAGTCTTAATATTATCGGTCACCGTTAGGTCACTGCCTGTTGTA